AGACCTTCATTAACAGTTGTCTTCGCTCAATACTCAAGATCAGATGGCCGGCCAGAAAAGATCAGCAACAGGGAACTCTGGGAGCGAACCAACCAGGAACCGACTGTGAAACAAATAGGCAGAAGGAAATGGAGATGGATTGGCCATACTCTGAGGAAACGATCAAGTGACATCACTAGACAAGCCATTGCTCGAGTGGAACCCGAAAGGGAAGCGGCGAGTTGGTCGTCAGTGCAAGGGTGACTTGCAGGAGGTCATGTGAAGAGGAGATGAAAAACGTGCGGGCAGACATGGAGCCAGGTGAAGACTCTAGCAGAGAACCGAACGCAATGGAGACGCACGGCTGAAGCCCTATGTTCCTCTAGAAATTAAAGAAAATAATAATAATAATATGTAGAGTAACCAGCTGGAGAATTCTATCGAGATCTAATGAGTTTATGAAATCCTGCTTTATTAACCTTTGTTGCTTGTTTTAAATTCGTATCGGGAAATAAATATTTCCAATTCCTAAAGAAGCTAATGTCTGAGTTATTTATTAGTTCAGTAGTGGTTAGGGGTGAAAAAAAAGAAACTCTATTTTATTCAGGTATTAACCACATGAATACTCTTACGTTCCAGTGTGTGTTTAATGTATTCAGATGATGAATGTAGTGCATAGCGGTTTAAACACCTGGTTGTGGCTAACTGGTAGTAGCCATTCCCACCAACATAAAAAGTTATGTCACTAAAATAATAGTCAATTATCCGACGAATACATTTTAACGTAAAATAACAGATTAGTTATAGGATGAAAAAATAGATACTAATTGTGTAGCAAACATGCTGGACTAAACGCAATTGCAATATACCATGAATTTACGCCCTTCATTCTAGCATTCTTTCAGCTTTATCAAATTTTCCATGCATACTATTCTGATTTATTACTAATGAGCTTAACTGATTAAAAATGCCCATTAAAATTTTCAAAAGAATGATTACTAAACAAAGAATGCTTTTTGCGATAACCTCATGATCAGGTTCTGCAGTTATATATAAATAATAGCGAATGAATTAGTGTTATGAACAACATTAATGTTGTTTAAATAACATCGAATGAATAATATCACTAGATTACAGTTCAGTAGCATCAACATAACAATAAACTGAATGTCAGAAAAATTAGGAGTGATAATAATACAAATTCATGAATTTATAGTCTCTACTGAAGGCCACGGCAGTAGTAGTGGCTACCTGGACTTGCTTCTTTTGCACACAAAGCACTAGTTGTTTCACGCGAATCGCGATAGCCTCTGCTGTTTGGAGCATGCAGTACCTCATTGTTTTTGGCAATTTACTTGGTACCTGGTAGATGATAGAGGAGGATTCTCCAATGCTGGCTTCAAGGCCGGTTTGGACCAGGTAGCCTAATATATAACTGTTGATGGTTTTCACTACACTTTTACTTAGCCACACAGGGAGATGTTCTCGAGCACGAAAAAGCAAGTTCCTAGAACAAGGGCCAATATCACTCGCTCCACAAGTGCAGTTGAATTCGTAGATACAATTGGTAGTGGCTAGTTTAGGTACTTCATCTTTCAATCGAGGAATCACCATCGGTCGTGTAGAAAGTAGGACTTCTAGTTCACCAGCATTAGAACATCTTTGAACTGATTTTCTTAGTTCCCTCGTCATTATTTCACTAGGTATATCACCCTTGAACTGCAGTCGTATGTATACAGGCTTCTTGTTTACAGATAGTGAATAGTCCTTTGCAGTTTAGGCAGGTCATATAATCTTGGCGTGTACGTGCCTATTAGCCTGATTTCTTTATATAAACTTTCTGAGAATATCTGCTCCTCCCTTAGTTTCCTCAAACGTCTGCTTAATTCATTCTCTATTTTGTTACTCAAATCTTTCTTCTCCTCAAGTTTTTGAAACTTCTGTGTGTCCTTCAATATATCATTCATCTTTTTAATATATTCACTTCTATCAAGGAGGACTACTACTGATCCTTTATCAGGCTTTGTTATTAACAGCCTCTCATCATTTATCAGATTCTTTAGTTCCGCATGCTACGAACAGCAGAGGCTATCGCGATTCGCGTGAAACAACTAGTGCTTTGTGTGCAAAAGAAGCAAGTCCAGGTAGCCACTACTACTGCCGTGGCCTTCAGTAGAGACTATAAATTCATGAATTTGTATTATTATCACTCCTAATTTTTCTGACATTCAGTTTATTGTTATGTTGATGCTACTGAACTGTAATCTAGTGATATTATTCATTCGATGTTATTTAAACAACATTAATGTTGTTCATAACACTAATTCATTCGCTATTATTTATATATAACTGCAGAACCTGATCATGAGGTTATCGCAAAAAGCATTCTTTGTTCAGTAATCATTCTTTTGATTTCATCTCTTTTCTCAACACGTTCCTTCATTTCACATATGGACTGCTCCATAATGAACTAACCACTGCAGTCTTACTATCTTCTCTTTAATGCATAATACCATGCAATAACCACTCACCTGAAACCTTTTACAATCTTGAACTGACTTGTCAATTTTTCTTGCGTACATTGAATTAATCCATCATAATTAATCACCATGATCATCTCGCATTTCGCAACATTTTGTAAATAATTTTAGTACAGCAAGTTTGTCGTACAAATACGTTTTGTTTTCTCAAACACTGTAACATTTTGTTCTACTTAAAAATGCATTCGCCGTATAATTGGTTATTATTCAGATAATAAGTGCTGTTTGTTTTTATAACTGTGAGAACCTGAATAGAATTTATTGAAAAGAATATTTTTGTTCGGATCGACTTTCATTCATGATATAAGAATATTTCACACGCTCTCATAATAGTAGTATTGATTTATTTTGTTTCACATGCCCTTGTAGGCATAAGGGTCAACTCAGTCGGGGTGAATAAACGAGAAGTAATCACGAGCACAAGCACTTTATTGACTACAATAATTGATAAATTGATAGGAACTTTAGAACATTTCTAATTCCTTGTATTTCAGTTCCGTTTAACCGACTGTTTCTTTTTTCAATCCTTCACGTTCCCAGTGGAACATAGGACTTCAAGCTAGAAGCTTCAACTTTCTGTAGTAGTGTTTATTTTTACAGGATGGGGTCGCTAGCCACATGCCCAGCTTTTATTTCTGGCTTAGCGAGGTAAAGGAGTGCGTCGGCCGGGAATCGAACCCCCGGACCACGTGCATGGTCGGCGAGCATCCTAACCGCTATACCACCGACTTACACAATTATAATAAGTCTCTTCGACGGTTTACTCCTATCCGTATTTGCAGAATGTATTTAGTAGCGGATACCACCATAACCGGAAAATGACTTTTACTGATTTGCTACGAATACATCTGAAGTTTTATTTCTAATATCTTGAAACACATGATTAAAAGATACTTTCTGTCTTCTTGACCATACGCTTCCCTAAGGGTTGCTTTTCTGAAAAAGTCTGCAAAGGTTCCCAACAGCACACACTCAAATAAATCAGCGAGCTCTACGAGCTTTTAGTAAAGTACAATATCTACATCAGCCGCCTTACGTATAGTCTTTGAATAAAAGTCGGCTGGAAATAGATATGAACTAGCCAAGTGTTTTAGGTTGTGGAAATAATGACAAATGCTGCAGATATGAAGCACCTCATAAACCTTACAGTAAACAGGTGTTTTGATGAATTTATCAAGCAGATGATGAGTGGACTTAACTTCGTTATCCTTGCCTTTCGTTCATTCATAATCTGATCAAATACGGAAATAAATTTAACCATCTTTTTGCCACTGATTATCTATTTTTTCTTTATTTAATACGCGTCTGTCTGGATTCAACATAGAACTTGGCACCGAAGTGCAGCATTTCGAGTTGCCACGTTCCAAATAGCACACAAAGGTAGACAAGAAAATGAGTGAAGAGAATCAATAGAGTTTTGACAAGTATAAGAGTGAAACAGAATGAGTAATGGTAGAAAGGAGTATGAAGGTTAAAAAGACTGAATACATCTGCGCCATTGACAACGATTTTGAGCCATGTCACCTATTGTCTCCAGCCATTGATTCTTGGAGTCCCGAGGGCCCCAACCCGGAAGTCTGCATCTCCCTACCTGACTCAGTTTAACAGTCAAGGATTTCATGGACTGATGCCATGTTTTTGTTTACCACCACTTACTCTTTTCCAACCTGCACCTATATCAGCTAGTAATGTCCGTCGGGGGAGACGATGGTTAGGCATGCGCAGCACGTGGCCTAACCATCTCAATCTATGTAACTTTATAGCCTCTTCGATTGATTTTCCCTCTTTGTCCAACACTCTACGCCTAACGTCAACATTACTTACCTTATTATACCACCTAACGTGAGAAAGAGATCGTAAACATCTGTGGTCAAAAACAGACAATCTATTCATGTCTTCCGCTCTCAATGGCCACGTCTCACCACCATAGAGAAGGACGGAGCGAACTGCTGAGCAGTATACACGTCCCTTGGTTGACAGTCGGATGTCACGCCTACGCCAGAGACGGTGTAAGTTAGCGAAAGCAGCCCTAGCTTTCTGGATCCGTGATGAGATTTCGTCACCAATCAATCCGTTGGTGCTGATACAACTTCCTAAATAGGTGAAGTGGTCAACATGTTCTATCACTTCACTCCCTATCACTAAGCTTGGAGTTGACGTAGTCCAGTCCTGTAGCAGCATCTTACATTTCACAGGGGCGAATCGCATGCCAAACATACGAAGATTGCTGCTCAAGGTGTTCAGAAGACTCTGCATTCAATACGCGTACTTAAGTTTTGATCATGCTAAGTTCGCTGACAGTGTCTACAACTGAAACACTGAGTTACTCGAGTTTGGAATCGTGCAGAGATATCTGTTCGGTCGAGATTGAATCCCTTCGATTGGAGTTTAAAATGTATAATTAATTTGAAAAATCACTCATCTGACACTCAACGTTAGGTTATCGCGTAACGCGAGTGGCCAGAAAGTCATCATCAATACGCTAACTTTGACTTTTATTGTGAACGAAAACCTTGGAAGTAAATACTCCAATTTATATTGCCGTTAATAGAATAGTTGAGTCCAAGAATATACATATATTTCCTTCATAAGAGAAATAAAAGTCATCATTATTAAGTACATGTCGATTAGATAAAAGTATTCACAATAGCAAATAATGTTCAACATTATGCTTTTCCACTTGTATAAATTCACTGAGCCAAATTTAAAATCTTCAAGTGAGTTCGGATAAGATTTGTGAGATAAGTGACCATCAGTAAATCTTTGTAACTTGAATTGATAAGTTGTTCCAAGTGATCAGGATCTAGTTTGGGAATTGAGAAGATTAACTGTGCAATAGACCGTCCAATTTTAGGATCAGCTGGACACTTTTCATCAATCACACTTTCAACATATCGAATAACTTGATCCAACATAGAAATCAGGTGTTGTGAAAGTTGGTACAAATAGACCATGTCGTCTCCAAGCTACGTTGAAAAAACAGGTGATAAATTAGTATAAAAAAATTGCATTATTGATAGCTTCACTGCAACTAACATTGACACCAGAAAATGAAATAAACAACCAATGAAAGAAGTGATCATATTACGAAGTATATTTTATACTGACAAACATAAGGAAACCGGAATTCCCAGCACATGACCTGTAGTAATATCAACAGCTATAATAGTTCATGTGAGAATACATAAACAACATTTGTGTTTAGCTGTTTACAAGAAGCATGAAAAATATCTGTTTGTTCAAACCAATTGTCAGTGAACAAAACTGATTACAACTTAATGTTCCTAAGCAAGCTGATTTATTCTGTGAAGATATATGACACACCAGGACAATATATGCAAACTTCAATCCTATGGTTACTGAAGGATACTTAAGATCAAATGCGTAGTGTTGTTTGTCTGTTAACCCCTTCATAATTATGTTATATGCACAGTGAAGAATTGTTTAATACATTTAGTATTCCTCTCAAGCTGTATGAAGTATTAGACAATATTTCACCTTAAAGCAGACATCAATAGCATTAACGTTTGCTTGGTTTCCACCATTACCACAGGACGTCAAAAGTGACATGTTATAATTAAAGTAGGAAGGAAAAGTTGTAATCATCTACGATTTCTTCTAATCTTTGTAAGGCCGATACTTAGTGTCGAGGTGTAATTACACACTGATTGTATGTCAATTTAACAAACTGTCATACCTCCTAATATTGACATGTTCTTCAACACGAATTAAAATTAATGCTGTCTTTCCAACAAGGAAATAAAAAATTACTACTTACTTCCTTTACAACTTCGGTTGTTACATTTAAGATTGTTGGTTTACTGTTTTTAGGATGTTGAAATAAATCTGAAAAATCTCTTAAAAATAATATCCGGAGCTTAACTACTGGAAATTACTGACTGATGCATGAGCTTCCTGAATTGTTCGTGTACGCTCCCGTATCATTAATTCTACCATAGTAACAGAGTACTAGTGGCTTTTTAGGGCCTAATCCATTAAACAAAAGTTTCCCATAAAAAAACTTAATGACCACTTGTGTGCTGTGACAGTAGATGTGTAAAGACTAATCCGATCAAATGAGAGCAAGATGAAGTAAGATGTGATGGACTAATCTTTTCATATGAAAGTTACCTAATTACACACCTGAGTTCATAAGATTATAGACAATTACCAGATTCTGAAATCATTAAAAACAGTTTAGGGTAGGAAATATGTGATATGGATATTTTAGACAGGTTAATAATCGAGGCGTGAAGTGGAACATTGAATTAAGTTTAACAGATTATTCTGTGCAGTAATTCATGACAAACCAAGTGTCACCTTAATATGCAAAAGATATACACTTCGTGAGTTAGTGTCGATAGGGTTATATTATTAAAGAAAGATATCATAAATTTGTTCGTTTGTCAGACGTTGAGCAGGTAAAGTTTACCAGGAAGCGGTACTGTCAATTTTGAGCTAAATGAGGCGATCCCTTAATAATTACAATAGAAATACTGGTAGAGACACACATAACGACTAATTAGGGATCGAATAGAATTCATACAATTTCAAATTCAGTCCCGCGTAAAGATGTCTTAAACTCAATTTCAATTCCAATTTTACAGCCATATTAACAGAAATTCTGTGACGGCGTTACTGATCCTAAAAATGTTTGACATTTCCAGTCAAATTTAAAGACTGGATTGAGACAATGAGCCAGTTTTATAAAATACAACATAAGTAACTTCCTCCTAATCAGTGCTGGAGAGTGACTGACTGACTAACTGGTTTCAACGTAATTCCATTATGGATAAGATTTTATTTTGATAAATCACACAGTGTTGTACAGTAATATTAACTGATGACGTTTCGAGCATAAACTATTGCTCATAATCATATCAAGTTCAACGTAGAACTTTGCACCGATGTGTGGCAGTTCAAGTCGCCACACTCCATGTAGCACACAAAGCAAGAGAAGAAAGTAGAAGAAATACATAATATAGACAGTAAACAGAGGTGAGAGACAAAGGAATAGTAATAATAAAGAACAACATAGTTTCATTGGAAATCATAAGTCACAAGGAGTGGATGCATCTTCGCCAGTCATTGAGAACGATTTTGAGCCATATCACCGATTGTCTCCAGCCACTGGTTTTTACTATCCTGAAGACCACAACCAGGAAGTCTACATCTCCCGACATGACTTAAACTAAATGTTATGGATTTCCTTGACTGATTAAGCCATGTTTTGGTTTGATCACCACTGGCTATTTTCCAACCTGATCCTGTGTCAGCTAGCTAACATTGCCTGTCGAGGAAGGCGATGGCTAGGCATACGCAACACACATCCTAACCATCTCAAATGGTGTAACTTCATAACCTATTCGATTGATTTTCCCTCCTTACTTAGTAACCAACTCAACCTCAATATCGCTTATCGTATATACCACCCAACAAGAGAGACAGAACACAGACACCTATGATCAAAGACAGTTCGCCAGGCTTTTCGTATCATCTACTCTCAATGGCCATGTCTCGCTCACAGACATAAATGAGGACGAAGTGGACTACTGAGGAGTGCACACACCCTTTAGCCGATAGGATATTACGTATATATCAGAGATGGCGTAAACTAGCATATGGCAAACGAGACTTCTGGATTCGAGCTGAGATTTCGTCAGCGGTCAACCAGTTTGGGCTGATGCAACTTCCCAAATAAGTGAAGCGGTTAAGGTGCTCTACCACTTCACTCCTGCCTATCTCTAAGCTAGGAGTCAACGTAGTTCAGACTAGTCCTGTAGCATCATCTTACATTTGTCGGGAGCGAATCACTTGTCAAACATTCGAAGATTGCGGCTCAAGGTGTTCAGAAGACTGCATCTTGTCAGCGTCTTCACGTAGAAGAACTATATCATTTGCATATTCTAAGTCAACGAGATTATTTCCTGATGGTAACAAGTCAATCGCCCAGTCGCTTAATTCTATTAGTACATCTATGATGAAATTAAAGAGAAATGGTGACAGTGGGCATCCCTGACCGACACCACTAGTTTTTACCACTTCAGATGACAACTCACCGTAAGCTCTTGCCAGGCTGCATGAGTTCGAGTAGAAGTGCAAGAGAGTACAGTCTAGTAGGCTTTTATTGGGTGGGCCCGATGGTTTTAACTGGTTGATAGCAAGATATAAAGGGACAGAAACAAGAAGAGAAACTGAGGGAAGTTTTGATCTACTATGGTGGCAATGAGAATGAAGTGAGTAGCCAGTTGGTATTGAAATGCAAATGACACTTCAGTAGTTTAGATGTTAGAATCAGTTAGAAGTTTTTTAAGGAAGATTTTAATGAGTCTGCACCTACTTTTTACCTGCCATTCGAGTAGAATATTAATATATGGTGCTAAACATGCAAAATTCGAGAAAGATGTCAATGGACTTGAAAAACGGGATGTATTGGAGTTTGAATAACGAAGTTCATAGAACATCGGTGTCTGTAGTCTTAAGACCTATAATAACTCCTCACCCAGCTGTAGCTAGAGAAGAACAAACCCAACAAAACCAAAATGCTGTCCGATGCATTGATCAGAACACTTTACGTCATAATGCGAGAAAAGTATAACAATTGAAATTCGGCACAGGATACACTACCTGATGTTATATTAACCTTTGACTCCGGTAACTGAAAGCTTTCGAAAAGTCTCTCAATGAAATGAAAGTTCGTTAATTACATCTAACTTTGATTGCGTTGGAGACTACAGTCAGCTAATCCCTAGAACGCTTAGACTGAATGATGTTTACCAAGAATGTTCACTTTATTTCTATTCAGCTATATATATATATATATATATATATATATATATATATATATATACTAATTCAGCTATGATATACTAATGGGGATATTATTTACGCACTTATCTACGGTTTAAACAATTTTAATTTTGTTGAGGAGATACATTAGTATACAGTTTTATGAACATCTTTAGTAGCGATTTGTTTTTGGATTGATTTTGCACCCTGCAGCTGCAAATTATTGCCAATGTTGCCACTGCTGACTACATGGATTGAAGTAATATGGCATGTCAACTACTTTATGTATTTAAGGGGCAACATCAGAGTTAACGTACTAACGACTGACAAGATCCCAATAGTAGTAAAAACGTTCGCTCGACTTCAGCAGAACTTTTATTACTCACTATATATGCGATGAACGTGGGAGTGGGGCGTAATATACAACACTGCATTCTGTTCAGTGACGATGCTACAGCCTACGAGCCACACTAATCGTGTAGTCTGCCTGGTTTCAACATAGAATTTTGCCCCGGTGAGCAGCAGTTTGAGTGGCCTCACTTCATTCAGCACACAAAACCAGAGAAGAAAGTAAAAACAAACTCAAAATAGAGACAGTAAACAGAGATTTGAGGCGAAAAGAAGGCAAAAAAATAATGCCCATTCTCCCAGGTTGAATTAAGGAAAGCAGTGATCAAAATAAGGACCCATTTCTTAAAATTCAGTGGGGTGAAACTTTGAACAAACTCGTTATATGTCTTCAAAAGTTACTAAACGGTTTCATGCATAAGCCTCCCCACTCACCACCCCTGAGAACAAAATTTAGATGGAATAAAACTAAGTTCTTCTTGATACAGTTGAGTGAGTGATAACAGAAAATTTAACTCTAAATAATACTTGACTAAAAAGCAGAGTGAACCTAAGCAAAGAATGACAGGATTGCTCACACGAGCGTCTTTCAAAGTTTTGTAAGACTTTCAGTCCGCAGAAACTGTAGGGCATGGGTATAGCCTGAATTTGATCACACTTTAAACGAAACCAGGTCTTCAGATACGTGCTTAGTGCAAAAAACCAAAGCACAACAAGAGTTTATATACAGAAAACATAACACCTAGGGAAACTGTATAGCGCCCTAAACCACCACACTAAGTATGCAAACGGTGATATCGAAAAAGATAGGGGCGTATATTACAGTTTATGAACCAACTCTACAATACAAATAAGCAGATTGAGACATAAAAATACATCCAAGATGAAGATAAAAAGACAATACGTACACCACATTATGGCGGAATTAGGGTCACTAAGACTGAGAACACACTTAAGGCGTAAAATATCGGTCTACATGTCTCAATCAAAAAACCTATCATTTGAACAATTCACTTAATGCATTCTATTAGAGACAAGCTGTTTTCTAAAAAATTACCTCGAATATTAGCACAATAAGTGGCAGTGGAAAATGGTAGAAGTAATATCGCTGACACACATGATGAAAGTAACGGGAAACGAAGTACTTAGCAAGCTAGGAAGAGAAACTCACCTCAGGTTGCAACTTGCTCCTTGGATCTATAGAAGAGACCATCATTTCAACAGCACATCGTTCAGCACCGTAACACTCAATCTCTACTTCAACTGGTACAAATATGAACCCGCGTACACCACCCGGTATACCCATTTGTCTGCACAAATAGGCCTTCAGTGCCATTTTGTCTCCAAAAGTCATGTTAGTATCAACTAGCAAAAATATTGCGTTTTTCGATTGTTGCATGTAATACTCCTGATGAATAAGTTTATAGTGCTCTGTGATCTCATTTCCTGTTGCATACCAACCCACAATACTATGAGTACGGTTAACCTAAACAGCAATAATTTCTTGAAATTAAAATACTTTGCGTTCAAGAGCAGCCATACTTTTCCCGAATTCAAAGTCCATTGATACCTCGATTTCTGATTCTTTGTGAGGTACACTAAAGCAATGAGTGACTTCAATAATTCCCTTTCCCCACGTTCCTGAAATAGCTACGAAGTTGATCCTGTCATACCTAGGAGAGTTCCAATAACACGTTCAGACTCCTCCATTCGTCTTTCGTACGCATCTACGATGGACGCTAGCACCACTGGATGAATATGAACAGCAGATCCCGATTCCATTCACGTTACCTTTTTTTGTATTGCCCTCCTATTTTTAGTTGACTGTGCAACCTTGTTTGAATCCTTCAACGTTTGGCAATATCGTTTACGATTATGTATTTCAAAATATACAGGATTTCAGGCGAAGCACTGCTAAGGGTTAGTAACCGTGAATTTATTAGATTTCGTAAAACGTTTCACTCCTATCGACGTCGTAGAACGACAAATAGCAGTGTAATTTGCTCATAAAATTGGTGCGACTCCTGTGTCGAATGCAGCTAAACCTGTAGATCTTTTCCATTACCTCTGCTTCGTATACATGTCTAATAGTAAAACTCTGAAGCCAAGTTACTTCATAACCACTGCGCAACGAATGGACGGTGTCACGACGGACGGTGAATCGTTTCTTTAGTCCTCTTCCAATTTCAAGTCTGTCTTTCATCATGGGTGTTGCTCAGTCCTCAACAGCACAATCCATATACCACTTACGGAGATATTTGCACATATCTACGTGAAGCTAGACTTCCAACATATGTTTCTGAAGATCCTGTCTTCAAAGACAGGACAGTGTAGAGTGAATATCCGATTATAGATCAATAATCCTGATTCGTATCACCCCTACGATATTGTGAGTAAACACTAGCTTACTTTAAGAAATATAGCCTTCTACACACAGGGATGATGTCCACAAAAGAAATAACTAGTAGACAGAGACAGGAATGTAGTGGCGAATATCTCCCAGAGAGTGTAGTTTTCATCGACCCCGAGGGAGAATTAGCCTGTGGTACACACTTTGACTTAGTTCGGCTTGGACAACACTCTGCAAAGGCAAATTATGGACTGGCAAAAAAGGGGAATACGTTGGACACAGAGTGATTTGACTTCACTTGAGTACCATACTGGAACTTTTGGTATTTATATTGTATCTGCACTGTACCTGAAATAACTGAATTAGTTCATCTGGCTGTCCAAGTGTAGTCCATAGAGATTTTGTTTATGCATGGGAAATAGTTAAGGCTCAGGTATTTATTTAGACTGATTGAAACTCTATATCAACACGCAATTACCTATTTGAAGTGGTAGTCCTCCCTATAGTGCCTTTTTAGAACTACCTAGCAGGTATTCTTAGAAATTCACCAGCAGTTAATGACAGATAGGTAAGTAGTGCACCTTCCACTGTATCAAAACGAAGCTTCGCCTAGAATTAATAAATCACAAGAAATCAGTTTGATGCCATTTTAAAAACGTCTATGCCACATGTGGATATTATATTGCAACAACCGAGAGCAAGACATGGAGGCCAAGGTATATTTTTCATTAATAAAACCGCTCCTTACATGTCTGCAGTTTATATTTGACAATCAATCACCGAGCGTGTGATTTCGGTTTCCGTCAATGGACATGAAACAGAATGTTTAAATACACGTAGTATTCTGTTGCTAACGCAGTAATGAACTGTGTGAAAAGTATTCTGTCTCTAACAGCGCGTAGAATGTCCAAATATGTAGCATTTTGTAGCTAACGCAATATTGTACCGTGCGAATAATATTCTGACTCTAGCAACAAACAGAACGTTCAAGCAGATATATCATATTCTGCTGCTAATGCCGTATTGAAGTGTGGGAATATGTAAGAATCATATCCAGGTGGAACACACTATCAGTATTATACCACCTCATAATGTTCTATAGTGTTTCTTATAAAGGGAACAACCATATGGGCTGAAATGCCATTCTGTGGTCGCTCTCCTTGTGCTATTAACACTCACAGAGTGAGTCCGCAGTTCATTCCTACTAGCCATATAAGTCTAAAACCCATTTCTGAAATAAAACCAACATTATGTTCTTATTTAATTGGTGGATGGTGACTAGCAGTGGAATTTAGGATGTGCATTTCGTCCTATTTGGGACTCGTCAGCTCGATGTACCTCAGTGAGTGATGATGTTCCCACCGAGGCTCGAACCCAGTGCCCATAGTTTCCAACGCCAAAGAGTTATCCACTAGACCACTTGGGCCACGAGAGCCACCTCTTGTGCAACGGGTCACATTGATTTAATTGAATTTTTGATTTTTCCCGTCGAGTGATTGGACCAAAGTGCTCGGTCTCAGGTTGACATATAGGACGAAATGCGCATCCTGGATTCCACTGCTAGTCACCATCCACCAATTAAATACTAATTAAATGCCCAGACACCGTCAAAGCATCTGCTCAAGAAGCCGACATGTCAACCTGAGACTGAGCACTTCGGCCCAATCAATCGACGGGAAAAATCTAAAATTCAATTAAACCTTATGTTCTGTTTAAATATGTAGCTCATCACGGTACGTAACCAAATAACTGAGTCATTGTGACTTATTTTTTGTTATCAGTATTTACAAGCTATGTCTAGTAACAACTGATTGGGTAATTAGGTATTCAATGGATAGTAAAACTGGTTAAGTGTGGCTAACTAATGGCACTACCAGCACCTTGCAAGTCCAAATTTATGACACCAATTGCTGTGTCTTTGAGAAGAACGGTGCAAATGATCACTTTGTATAAACCGACTTTTGGAAAAACCTATCTTATTCTGAAAGCTGGGATGAGCTGTTTGTACGAAACTTGTGGGGCGAAGGTCTGCTATCTCAGACAACAATTCTCCATGGCAGGAATATCCCTACCTTTGGGGGAAGTGTGTGTGATATATCGTATCTTGGTGATGACATCCGTCATGATCTACGAGCAAATGCAACGATGCACACTGGATGCTCACCCTAGGTATCCTCCTCACAGGTGTAAGGTCTCCTGGAAGCAGATATTATAGTACCAGCATCAGCTGAAATTTTTGCTGTCATATGGTTTAGTTCTCCAAAGAATATATGAGTCATCACGTTAGTTTGAGATTAAGCTCGTAATTGGACAGTTATTAGGACATGTTGTGTGACGGATATAATCAGCTTTTAGTGACATTGCGCTGACTTATCACACGGCATTTAGGGATATATGCTCTATCACACCTACCAGTATAGTTAAGTCATCAATGAAGACTGATTGCAGAGACAGAAGCACAGATCACAGTAGGTGTAACAGCTAATAAAAGAACAACTCTCCTCGAGCCTAGCCTGTGTGTTCACTAACCGGTGGCTTAGTCACATTTTTAAACCTATGGTCATCATCTGCGATCTAGACGCTATTGTTACAAATTCTATTAGACCAGCTGATCGAATAGGTGTTGTGCTCATGAATGTTTTGTGATCGCCGATGTATAAGACTTGAGTCTTTCTGGCACCAAACTAACCTACTTCATAGTATGACCACACTCTAAATAATGAATGAGCTGTTCCTAACTGCCATCAAGGATAACCAAGGCAGTTTGCAGCCTAAGGATGCATGATGTATACTACACAAGTTCTAATACCCCTAACTTCTATAATGTTCGTTCAGCGTAGACCAAAGGCAAAGCAAAACACCAGAATTGGTCGTCCGAATTACGAAGTATATTTCAGGAACGAATCGGAGTATGAGATGAATGCCTAACTAACCAGGGATCGTGAACGAAGGGACGACGCTTGACCATAAGCCTTCATTTAAACAAATTGACTTTTACAGTGAGCGTCAGCTTTCAATGTTGAGTGCTGAATCAAACAGAATGTTTACTAAAACATCACGGAATCTCTGAGTAGGATGAGTAAAAATGAGGACTTAATAATTATTGACTTGGATAAAGTTTCTGCAGTAGTAATCGTTAATAAGGCAGAGTACATGGACAAGGTGGGTGGCATACTGAATGATAAGCAGAAATCCAAAAATTTCAACTTCTAATGATCCGACTGAGAAACAATTAATTGAGTCATTAAAAAGAATGAAACAACAAGGCATCATCTCACAAAGTTTATATTAATTACTGAAGCCTACGAGTACAGTCACACCAAGATTATATGGACTTCCGAAATTGGATGAAATGATCTACCACTCCTGCTACTGTAAGACATGTCTGATTTCCCTTATTAAACGACGACTAAATGGTTAATGATAATTTGAATTTGGCGAAAGAATAAGAGATTTAGATGAGAATGAAATACTTTCTTTGTTCACTGATTGAAACAGTCAACTTTATGTGTGATGAAATTATTAAGCGGAATACAGACATCGGTATTATTGTGTCCTCCATGAAGGAACTTATTTTAAAATATGCGATGAACGCTCATTTCTTGTTCAACAAAGAATTCTATGGACAAGCTGATGGTGTGGCTGTGGATTCATTACAGTGACCAGTCCTAGCTGATGTTTTCCTCACGAAGTAACAGAATGGACCGCTGAAAGGAGTAATTGGTGAATTGCCATTCTGCTTTCGATACGTTTTTGATGTGGTTGTGTTCTCTGAGCTGGATAGTTAATTAACGAGAGAGAGAGAGCAGATAACACAACCACGTCAAAATCATCCAATTGTGCTACAAATCTTCTCCATAATACTTTCGATATGTGGATGGCACATTTTTGATTATGAAAAACGAGAAAAAAGCAAAGGATATCCGTGACAGGTTCAATGACTGGCACTCAGAAATAAACTTTACCATAGAGAAGGAAAGGAATGAAAATTTCTCATTCCTAGATGTCTTTCTGACGAGGAAGGAAGATGGTACATTAGAAAGAAGTATGCATAGGAAATCAACGATGATAGGTTTCACATGTACGCCTCTGAAGTATAAACAGAACTTGGTAAAGTATCTGGTTCTTAGAGCTAGGGAGGTCTGCTCAAACGAATTTCTCAATGAGGAGCTTAAGATTATAAGAATATTACTTAGTAAAATGATTATCCACATAAGATAATTGGTAAAAATATGGATTTAACATAAAGGGAAATCAGTATGGCAACAGCTCCGAAGAAATTCTTGCTCATAAAACTGCTGTTGTTGGATGATAAAACCAACGAGATAGTAACGGAGTGCCTGAAGAATGTAGTGCGGCAGAGTTACTCTGTCTCTTCACAGCCACTCCAATTCCGAAAACGAGAAATAAAAGCGAACCTCCAATTCCGACTCATCGTCCATGTGTAGGTACCAGTCTGGCGTGTCATTCGGAGCTAGTTACATTGGGTGTATAATTAGGCGGTTTCATTATCGTA